TGCAATAAAATGTAATCTCTAGAGACAAGCAACTAATTATAATAACGGAAATATACATTAGACAGAGCAAATAAGAATCAGTGTTGAAGGGTGCAGGAATTATGAGCGGACAACAGTGGGAGCTGCCTCGAGACACAAACAGGGGTAGGGAAAATGACTATGCTCGTTACTTTGAAATATTCGGGCATAAAATGTTGAATTCAGACGTAAACTCAAAAAATGTATGTGTATGAGAAGCTGCAAAAACCCACAAAAATCCTCAGGAAGGTTAATCCGTCTCCAGGCAGAAAATAAAACCTAGGACCTTCCAAATATGGAGTAAACTCATAACCATTCAACTGTGACCTTCGGTATTTTCTTCGGAATATAAAAATCGTGTTACATTAAACTGCAACACAAATACCTCTTCGTAGGACCTGCGGTGAAGTGCTTCAGAAGAGGTATAAGAGTTTCTGTATACCTAAAGTTTAAGACCCAGTACTTGCAAACGAGGTTTTACGAGTCCCCTCGCTCTTTCCTGTGCTGGCGCTCAGATGGCCGATAATTTCTGCCTTTTCCGCGTCACGTCACAGCCAGGACGTCAGGCGTCGCACGCTGCACAATCCAGACCAAGCGGCGTCTGTCCCAATGAAGTAACTGAGAATAACTGACCTGTCATGGCCTCACACTGGCGGACCAACAATACTGAAAACAATCCTTCCGTCACCGCTTGTATATTCAGCATGCTATCTGCCAGCGAATCTCGATATTTTCATCGATATTATTAGTGTACTTTTCCCGCAGAATAACTACGAGCTTCCTTGACCGTTACAAATAAATACAAACGCAGGAGTGAGGATGAGACCGTAAAGTTACAGCACAGAGAGATAATACAAGACTTCCTTTTATACTATCGGATCGGATGTGAAATTACTGCGTTTAGGTTGTAGAAGTAGCGCGTTCCACAACACAGTGTAGAGTGAATATCAGTGTATAAAATGCCAAAGACTGTGTCGAAATAAAAGAAGAAAACATTGTCTGTTTTCAAGAAACTGCGCATGCTATTTACCGTCTTGCTTCCTCTGCCCTTCTCATCTTCCCTTCCACGACTTACTGTTACGTAGCTCAAGCTCGGTTTTATTCTGCGTCCACTGTAGTTGCTAGGAATACAGTATAATTGATACTGAAGAGTAAGATTAGGCCGTCAAGTGCTAATTATGCTAACTTACCACCTTAAGTTAATCATGAAAATCAATACAATGTTATTCATGTTTATGAAAACCATCGGAAGGCTTTTGAAGACCTTTGAAAACAGGACGATTAATATAAATCCGAATAACTACTAATTTTTGTACATTTATTCCCCATTCCCTACGATGAGATATACCAGACCTCCATCGTGGTTCGATACAGAAGATATTACACGAAATACTTAACCCAATCATTTCAGGCGCCTTCGCTACTAAACGTTTTTTTAAAAATATGCTATATCACCTTTGCCACATGTTTGTTTGTCTGCATTTGACAACTTGAGAAGTCGGATCCTTAACGGCATCTGATTCCTCGCAGTTGCCAACACATTTGACCCCACGCGTGGAATCACCAGTCAGACTGGCGCCAAACACCACGCCCACGCAAAGGTCGTTGGCCCAACAGCTGAATAGCAGAATTCAATGCAGGCCTATATGCCACTAAGACTTAATAGGCTTGTTACAGGTAACATCATCTTCACTAGATGCCCATTTCATGCTCATTCTTCGTGGTGAGGAGATGACTCCATATCTGTAACCCTATTCGGGAAGAAACCGTTTCAGTTTCTTCCCAGGACAAACAAACTGAGGAGTTTCATTGTTTTCTTTTGTCTCCCCAGTCCAGTGTGAAGGCCGTTTCCTTTCACAATGCGTTGTTTCAGTAGTCGGGACGAATCTGTGCGTTCGACGTCCGTTAGAAGAAAGATGCATCAGAAGGGTAGCAGATGAGGAAGCACAAACTGTTCGTACTTCAGACAAAATTTCCCAGCGACAGAATTTTGCAGCTCGCTGTCTCAGTTCCTAAGTCGGTAATGTCTCTGGATTACGTATGATACGCATTCGTCTTAATTTTATCAGCAAGCTAGTGAAGTAGATGAAACGCAGTTTGCTGTGTACCATATCATCAAATTCCACGCCCTATATAACCTCTGAAGTTCGAACAGAGCCTTTAATACTCTCAAATACAAGCAATCACTCTCATTCATGTCAATCCGCGCTTTATCCAACGTCTTCATGTTTCTCTCAGCACAACAGTGAACTGTAAACTCCACAAAGGATATATCGCAGACAGAGATAAAGTAGAAAGGGTGGTAAATAAATGGAGAGGTTAAAGAATGCCAGTCTCTGACGTAATCTAGACAAATTTCCACACTTGTCCCATAACTATTCAGTTAACCACCACACACTTGGTCACCCTAGTTTCTCGCTGTTAGTTTGTGACTCACAAAAACTACGCAGTATAAATGTGTTATATTGGAACTACCTACAGAAAAACTCCTAAGGTTAAAAAGAAGAGTTCCACACAACACTGTAATAGCCAAATACAAATGTAAACACGACGAAAGGTCGGCGCTTTTTTGTTAAATTGTATTGTTGTGTTTATAAAAAAAAAGAGATCGGAACAATAATTAAATTCACGGTGAAATTAAGAGAATAAGAATGTCTGAATATGACTGCTATAATTCAGTTTACAAGTTGGTACAATACCAAATACTTCCCACAAATTTTATGCACTTCATTCCCAAAATTACCTACTTATTGCAGTATTGAATAATCCATAAACAAAGAAATTCATTCAAAACACATGGGATCTCGCATTACAAACATAAACATAAATTCTGAAACGTTAAATGTTTCATAAAAGATAATGATTACAAACTTTAAGAATAGAATTGGTCTTCGTCAATTAATTTTGCCGTATTAATCAACAATTTTCAATACTGGTGAAATTTCAGGTTTTCAGCTCGGCGAATATGAGGATGACTGTCTTGTGGGGTGTAGCGCCATGTGGTCTGGTACAAGTTTACAGACGTTACAAAGCTGTTTGCAGCTTCCATCACTAAGGCGATGATAAACTTCTACCAGAAGACATGGCGTCACACCCCAGAAGGCAGTCATACTCAACTTTTAATCTTGTTTTACAAACGGTCATCGAGCGCCAATTATTTTCGGCATATCCGTCTATGGCATTTATTGACATTTTAGTTTTCCATGGAGAAAATGGCGCTACCTAATTAAAGAATCCGATTCTGGTGGGAAGCTCACTTTAACCTATTAACCAAGAATCAGGGGAAACGATTCATGGAAATGTAAGTAGGCCAAACGGTCTACACTTAAAGTATGCCCCATGAAAGAGGAAAATTACAAGGCTCAAGACACAATGTCGCAGTCTAGGAAACAGAGGTTAGAGACTCTGTTACTAAGCTACCCTGACGTGGTTCAAAATGTATGCTGCAATGCGTTATAACGGTACAATGAAAAGTCTGACGAAATCAAATGAAACAGCCTGTAAACTGAAACATTTCGGGAATTGAATCCCAAATTCCTGACAGAAGCAACTACTCTGCAAGTCTTAGCGCAGTTAATAAACTCTCTGGTTGCTACAATATACGTAAATAAACTCAGTATTTTTGGAATTTGTCTTTCTGAACCGTTCCCTCGTATTCTAGTATTGATTTCTGGCATCACCAGGTCACGAGTTTACGGGCCCATTGTGTGTATTTCCAGCGACAGGCCGCCAGCTCTGCGCAGCTCTGGATTTGGCCGTATGTGGTGTGCTTCACGTTACAATAAATGTTCCAGAGACACTTTAATAGCTCTGACAACAAAGTCAACAAAGTGACTGCATACGTGGGGCTTACAGTACGTCCAGAACTCGATTCTCGATATAACCGATAGTAAAGTTTGGCGAATTCGCAAAGAAAAGTTGCAAGAATGTGCCTCTTAGTGTTACAATATGTCTGCCAACCCCTCTGCCTATCCACATGTAACAACATAAGATCCGTTAAAACGAATTCAATAAAATTTGATACTGCGAAGTTCTGTTACACTTCGTCGGAAAATAATAACGAAGGTTTACATGAAGATCTACAAGCGTTTCTGCACGCATGTCGAGTGCAACTCAATAAAAATTTAACAGGGCTAAAAATATTTCGAGCAAACTTTGTAGAGGAAAAATAATCTCCGAATTTTACTTAAAATACACTTTCTCCGCAAGTCTTACGGTATCTGAGATAATTAAACCAAAGAAATTAATGCTGTATTATCACATAATTTGAGAACCATGGGACTGATATGGATCGAACTTCATAACGGACGTCCATTCTGCTCTGTGCCGCCTGTCATAAGACAATAAACATTAGCCTTTAATAATTTAAAATCTGGAAGGAGTAAAAAGGAAAACCCCTGGAATTTTATGCTATAAGTATATTTCCTAACTTGTTTCATATAATAATTAAAGTTGCTGACCGGTTCTATGGCACTGGGCCTTAGTTAAAACTTTATACTCATTCAGAAATTAATAAATTCCATTTCTTTCAAGAAATCCAAAAACTCGTCCCAGTATTCACAAAAACCCAACATTGGACCATTTCCTGATCCAGTACGCTGGAGTTTCCGCCTTCACACCGCATTCCTTGGCGATGAATTTTCAGACGTAAATTCATAAACTTGAAGTTCACGAGGACATGTACAATTAGCCAGAAACGAGTTGAAAGATTTGCGGATTTTTGGTGAAGATTCGCGACTTACTGTAAGCAGGGAAAATTTGTTCCCTACCTCCAATAAAACATTTGCACCTTCATTACAGACATCAGTCAATGGCATGAAAACAGCAACAAACTCTGAATATCAAACAAATTCCATAAACAGAACCTCGAAGAAATTGTGAGTTAATAAACATTACACGTAAGTTAGCACAGCCCTGTAGCCTAAATGTTTAAAACAATAAAATAGACATGAAGGTTGTCACCCCTGCTTCTGATCACTTACCTTAGAATCTAACGATCCTTTTAAATGTTGACAATTTTTTTACTATGCCTGCAGCGTGAAGCGAATGTAGACCTATCCGGATGTTAAGTTGTTCACTTACCTGAAACAAAATAGAAAAGCACGTCAGAAAAATATTCATGAATCACGTGGCGTTGTTGTAATGAACGCGTGCAGTAAATGTAAATGCAGTTCAGAACTTTGAACGAGCTCCTGGAGTAATATGAGTGGAGATCAGAACGCCGGGAAGCTACTCGACAACGGACACAATTTACTGCGTATACTGGAGAAAATGTGTCCGATGAAACAAAGATTTAATTAACAGATAAACCATTGTGAAGTGCGTGAACACTATGGGGCGTTAGCAATCAAAACTAACAAAGGACGAAATATTCATAACGACTGTTTATTTCACTCATTCATCGCCCCTAAATCTGTAAAATGAGGGTAAGAAAAGGAAAAGAGGAGAGAGCCCCTAGTACAAATATATTTTTTAAAAACTATCTCTGCTTTGAGATCAGTTAAGCGCCGGGTCAGAGAATGTAGAAGATAAAATTGATCTCGCTCTATGAAATATAAACAAGACAGAAAAATTTTAGTCATACCTTCAACATTCCTGGCACATACCAGAAGACGATGTGTCCCATTTAATTTTAGTATTAACTGCAACTACAGTAGGTATATATGTACTATTTTGCAACTTCAGTTCCAATAATTACCATTAGAAAAGTTCAATAAAACAATTAGTGTATTCTTGGACCTTCCTGATGATAAAGCATCTGAATTGTAAATGTATCAGTCAGACATTTTCCAATGAACTTTACTGCAAGGTTGATTATAAAGTGATAACGAGAGAGAATATTATAATGCTAGAATCTTCTTTAACTACGCAACAGAAATAAAACTGCAAAATTTAAACCTCTCAGTTGCCACAAATCACACGACATTAACGAATGAGAGCGTAATTAAAAACATCACTTCCTCTGGACAAATGAAATCTACTCCTGTTTTCAGGATGCAGACAACGAGCTAATTCTCCGCCCGCTTAACCCGGCTGGGGGTAATTCAATATGAATTTACGTATCGGTACCGAGCAGGAAAATATTCGTGCGCTGGCTGCCATAAAGTGAATGTGTCACAACCAATTGGGAAAAAGGGCAGTTGAGATGAAAAGTGATTTACACTGGCTCAGAATAGGGTATCTGGCAGAAATCTGCGAAAATGTTTATGTACCTTATAAGCAGGAAATTAAAATTCTTGGTCTGTTGGATGACCATCAGCTTTTAAGGGAACCCCCTGCTTAATAAAATTAATTAATTAGAACTGTCCCTTTGTCCTTTTTCTAATCTTACATCTACATAGTCTCACACAAAGGCATTTTTTTATGTTTTCTCGATTATAAAGTCCTGACGGTAGACACTGTCTGTGGACACTTATTGTGCATACGAGCAATAATGCCACCTAAAGTTGAAAACGTTTAATCACTCGTGGAAGCGATTTTATCTATCGATCGGAGTCCGTAGTCCCTTGCGTTTCCCTAGTAACCGAGTGAACAAGCATACTTCTGAATATCTGAGACTACTCTCGATGATAATAACCCACTAGGTTTGCCTTCCCTAATAACTAACTCAAGACCTAAATATCTGGGAAAGGTAAAAGTGTAAAGTTTTATATTTTTAGCAAACATTTATGTTTTAAAGAATTTTTCGAATTTCTGTCAAAGTAATGCGACATTTCACAATGTGAGTTTCAAATAATTCAGCAGAATTCTCGGAATTGAAATCGGTAGGCACGTCTATAAAGAAAAATAAAACTACAAACGAATCATAAATGTCACGAACCCGTTACAGGCGAGAGGCCGTCTTCCTTGTAGGCTTCGATCTATACGTTTTGTTTATTAGTTAGTTTCTTCGCTGTTGTATTTTATCTTATTATATTCTTACTCTTGTTATAATACGTAAGTTTAAAATCTTTAGACAAATTAAAGTGTGATAGGCTTCATCACGGGGCGAAAACTAGCACAAAGACTCGTATTTCATTATAGATTAAATAAAAATTACAGAGAAGTGGGTTGTAATATTATTTGTTTACAGTTTTTATAAAACACTATCAGCGGCTCAGACTATGTAGAGTCGAATGATACGGTAATTAAGAAATGCGAACGAAAATGGAAGGAAACTGTGGTGGCATAATTTATTACATTATTCCGGCATTTGTCTAAAGGCGCTGAGAAGAAATACAAAATCCTCAATCAGGGTATTCGGTCTACAGGCCGAGATTTGAACTTCGTACCTCCCAAATACAAAGTAGCAACCTGAATCGTTTGCTTTAAACTATTGCTAAAATGCAGATCAGTGTGATTCTACCCTACAAAATACAGTCCAGAGGAAGACGGCTCGCAGGGTGACCACATAGTAGATAAAACAGTTCTATCGAAAAGTGATTTACACTGGCTCAGAATAGGGTATCTGGCAGAAATCTGCGAAAATGTTTATGTACCTTATAAGCAGGAAATTAAAATTCTTGGTCTGTTGGATGACCATCAGCTTTTAAGGGAACCCCCTGCTTAATAAAATTAATTAATTAGAACTGTCCCTTTGTCCTTTTTCTAATCTTACATCTACATAGTCTCACACAAAGGCATTTTTTTATGTTTTCTCGATTATAAAGTCCTGACGGTAGACACTGTCTGTGGACACTTATTGTGCATACGAGCAATAATGCCACCTAAAGTTGAAAACGTTTAATCACTCGTGGAAGCGATTTTATCTATCGATCGGAGTCCGTAGTCCCTTGCGTTTCCCTAGTAACCGAGTGAACAAGCATACTTCTGAATATCTGAGACTACTCTCGATGATAATAACCCACTAGGTTTGCCTTCCCTAATAACTAACTCAAGACCTAAATATCTGGGAAAGGTAAAAGTGTAAAGTTTTATATTTTTAGCAAACATTTATGTTTTAAAGAATTTTTCGAATTTCTGTCAAAGTAATGCGACATTTCACAATGTGAGTTTCAAATAATTCAGCAGAATTCTCGGAATTGAAATCGGTAGGCACGTCTATAAAGAAAAATAAAACTACAAACGAATCATAAATGTCACGAACCCGTTACAGGCGAGAGGCCGTCTTCCTTGTAGGCTTCGATCTATACGTTTTGTTTATTAGTTAGTTTCTTCGCTGTTGTATTTTATCTTATTATATTCTTACTCTTGTTATAATACGTAAGTTTAAAATCTTTAGACAAATTAAAGTGTGATAGGCTTCATCACGGGGCGAAAACTAGCACAAAGACTCGTATTTCATTATAGATTAAATAAAAATTACAGAGAAGTGGGTTGTAATATTATTTGTTTACAGTTTTTATAAAACACTATCAGCGGCTCAGACTATGTAGAGTCGAATGATACGGTAATTAAGAAATGCGAACGAAAATGGAAGGAAACTGTGGTGGCATAATTTATTACATTATTCCGGCATTTGTCTAAAGGCGCTGAGAAGAAATACAAAATCCTCAATCAGGGTATTCGGTCTACAGGCCGAGATTTGAACTTCGTACCTCCCAAATACAAAGTAGCAACCTGAATCGTTTGCTTTAAACTATTGCTAAAATGCAGATCAGTGTGATTCTACCCTACAAAATACAGTCCAGAGGAAGACGGCTCGCAGGGTGACCACATAGTAGATAAAACAGTTCTATCGTTATATACGATTTGAGGTTTTCACAGCGGTGAGTATGAAGATATCTGTCTTCTGGGTTGTTGCTCTGTGTAGTCTGGTCGATGTTAACCAACGTTTCAGAGGTCATACTGCCTCCGTCATCCGAGTATGAAGATTTCTGTCTTCTGGGTTGTTGCGCTGTGTAGTCTGGTAGATATCTCCGTCATCAGGGCGATGAATGTGTCAATATTTTCTGTACTGCCCTCCAATTGTCTCTACAGTAATATCATTTTATATGAGTCAGGAAGATAACTTCTTCTTCTTTTAATATACTAAGACGGGACCATTATTGATGCACAAATGCGTTAACACGGACATTGAGCGTTATCGTGCCACTATCAGCAAACACAGGCTATGTTTTCAAGGTGTAACGGATACCAGGTGTGAATTGTGTGGCATAACCTTATCCTTTCTGAATTATCAGAAGTCGTCGCTGTAAATGTCTAGTTCTTGGAAGCCGTGTTTCCTGTGCCTATAGTTATAACAGTGTAATACAATGTACCGCTGGGTTGGTGGAATGGATCAATAGCAAGTCGGTCTTGCCAACAAAACCAGACAGCCAGGCGAGCAGCAGAGCAACCAGCCCCTGGCCGGGCAGGCAGCCCGTCCAACACGAAGGTGTAACGGAGTCCTTTCAATAACCTGTGTTACTTAGGGTCGGTCCTAAAAACCTTAACAT